CTAGCCACGAGACCAGAACCAAACGAACCGAGCCACTCCCCTCTACCAATCCCGACCCTTCTCAGCCGCCACCATCGCCGAGTCTAGTCGGAATATCACAAAATCCTGCCGGTTTTACCCACAACTTCTTGGAGTTCATTTGGGCGATTCCGGCTACAAATTTCTTTGATCTAGGTATGCTTTTTTATTATCTCAATGTGTTCTAGCTAATGGTTGGGTTGAATAGGATCGATTTATGCATTTTGGATTTATCACTTAAAGTTTTGGTCGGTTTAGGCTTGTGATTCCGGCAATTTCCGGTCACTTTTTGGCCTTGGTCCAAGAACAAAAGTTGCTCCACTCATTGTCCTGATCATATAGGTACAGGTCTTGACTGGCAATTGGGAGATTTTCCTATCGCCAAAATTTACTCTACGCACTCAAGCGTTGCCGGGCTGTGTGGAGGTGTGTGGACCACTTTGTGGTGGGCCTTTGGGTCCTAAAATGATTCTTGTCATCCTGAGCACGATTGTATGCTCGCATATGAATTTGGTTATCGTTTGACTTTTGATTGGATATCGCATATTAGGCGTTATCCTGGTTCGATATGTTCGGACCGTTGGATCGACTCCATTTTTATATATGTTGATCTAGGAATCTCTAGGATTGTGTAGGACTTCGCGGATCATGAATCAGAGTCCTGGATGCTCCGATTCAATGACTTAAAGTTCGCGTTAAACGATGACCGTCCGATTCAGACCAAACTTGCAGGACATGTATATTAAACCTTGGTGAACTCGTACGAACTTTCGGATTGGAAATTTGAGTGAATAATCCAACGCCGCGTATGGGTATAGTAACTAGGGGAAGGTACTTAGCATGGTGCAATCACATATTCATGCAACAATCACAGAGTGAATAACAATTGTTCAACACGTATAATCCATATTCAAAATAACTATAAAACCCAAATATCAAAATAAACGAAATTCCATAATATATATAATAATAATAATAATAATAATAATAATAACTCCATAGTAAGAATAATCCATTTTGAATGCATAGAAATTTAATCGTTGAAAATAATGCTATTTCAAAACAAAGTCCACTCACAGATAATCCAAAGCTACTTGACCTTGAGAGGGTCCCGCCTATTGTGTACAAGGAGCCGAAGTTCCTATTGAAGAATAAGAGGACCATATTAATTAAAATACTTCGAAATAGAACATTAAAAACAAACTCCTAAGTTCCGGGATTCAAAGTGTGTGTGTACGATGAACGAGGAGTTCTTGAGGTCCAACTACGCGTTTCGAAAGGTGAAATAACTTTGGAAGACGCTCGGTCAACTGAGTGGTCAAACTTCCCGAATTTGATCAACCGAGCATGCGGGGCCCACGACCTCTGATTTCCAATCCGAAAGTTCCTACGGGTTCAACAAAGTTTACTAAACATGTCCTGCAAGTTTGGTTTAGGGTTTAGATCAAACAGTCGGATCGCTCTCGATCACACGATCGGACGGTCACCGTTTTACGTAATCTTTGAATCATTGAATCGGAGCATCCAAGACTCCTATTATCAATCCGAAAATTCCTACATGATCCTAGAGGTACCTAGATCAACATATTTGGAAATGAAGTCGATCTAAAGGTCTGAACATATCGAACCCAAATAAAGCTTAATATGCGTAAATCCGATTGACAGTCAAACGATAACCAAATTCAAACCCGAGCATACTGTCATGCTCGGGACGACATGGGAAATATTTTAGGACCAAATGAGCCACCCAAACATGGCCCACACGACGCCATACGTGCCGGCAATGCGTGGGTGGTTTGAGAAAATTTCGGCGACCAGAAAATTCTTAAATAACCCATTAATACCTATACCTACATGATCAAGACAACTAGTGGAGCAACATTTGTTCTTGGGCCACGACCAAAAAGTGGCCAGAACTTGCCTGAAACTCGACCCAAAAACAGCCAAAACTTTAGATTGTAAATCGAGTTTCAAAACTCAAAAATTGATCCTAATCAACCCAGCCATCAGCTAGATCACGTTGAAAGGATGAGAAAGCATACCTGGATCGACAAAAATTGTGGCCGAAATCGTCAAAAACGACGACGAAAAATTCAAAGAATTCAGGAAGGTTTTTTGCAATTTGCCCGCGATATCGATGGCAGCTACGACGGAGATTGAGCGGGATGGAGAGAGGAAGTTGAGGTGGTCTTTTTGGTATCGGCCTCGTGGTCAAAAGTGGACGGTGGAGCACAGTTGCCGGCCAAACAGTGGTCGGCTATTCATTCTTCACGGGGAAAGAGAGGTGAGAGAGAGAAGAAAAATCTGGTGTTTTTAAAATCCAACTTCTAAATATTTACGATTGTGCCACTACACTTTCGTTGATCGTAACTTCTTTGTTACAACTCTGATTGGAGCCTACTGCGTGTCTACAAACTCGTATGACACGCTATATGCAATGGTACCATTTTTCCCAAAATCCTACCGGATTTAAAAGTGACCAAAATGACCCTACCCCCGAGGGCAAAAATTGAAATTTCACAATTAATTAAATAAAATAATTTAAATGGATAATTAAAATTGGGTCGGGCTGTCACACTCCTTTCGCTTTGGCCCTCCGTGTCTCGTGCTGTTTGGGTTTTGTTCAACATAGCTTTGGTTTGCTCGAAGACTTGGGGTGTGATGGCTAGGGTTCCGACGTTCTCTGCCCTAGCATCACCGTCTATGTCTTGGCTACACCAATCGCCCCTCCCCCTCTTGTTTGCAACTAGGGTCTATTTCTTTTGGATTCTCGTGCAATTAGGGTCGTGTGGCTAAGACTTCCATCAGTGGTATTTGCGTGCCGTTCTCCTCCTTGTGATCGCGGGTGTTCTCCTAGTATTGTTGTTCTTATTGCCATGTCTTTTCCAATTTGCGACCGGGATGTGTTTATCGACAACATTGAGAGCTTCTTTAGGAGTTACTTTATTCTTATGCCAAGGGAACAGGCTGGCATGGTTATTAGATCTTTGGCAGTCTCTGATAGTTTTTTTGGTTTTGCCTACTGCCACTTGGCCAAAGTCCTGTCAACCATGATGGCTTTATCAAAACTTATTCACAACTATAGAATGGTACTGAGGATGTCTGAATCAAGGAAATAGATTCTAACAGGTTCTAGATGAGCTTTGTTAGTGCTCGAGATTAGAGAAGGGTTCTTGACACTGAACCTTAGGCATATCGCATTTCCTTGATTTTGCTAGC